GCCATCTCGTGGCTGTGGACAGGCAAAACAGCTCTTGGGGGGGTCATGAGCTCTCAGCTGCCCAGGAGGAACAAAACCAGAATGCACGAGTTTGGTTGTGGTAACTCTAAAATGGCACTCTGAAGGTTTGCAGCTGCACAGAGCAATCCAAACCCTGCAGAGACCATTATCTGCCCACCTGCAGCTCCGGCATGTTCTCTGCATGCCTGTGGTGGCATCCGAAATCAAGACAAAGAAGCTGACTGTGATATATTTGTGTGATGCTGTAGCTATCATGGGATATGCTAATAAAAGAACCCCAAATTGAATGGCCTGCGCCTCCTGCTGACCTCCTTCCCCAGAGCAGCTGTCGCTGCTGTGCCTGAGGAGGACTTCTCCCCAGCCTGTGGCCTCCTGCTCCCAGTGTACGCCCAGCTGCCCCTCTCCAAGGCACCCCATCGTGCTGCTGCCCCTGCTCCTGCCGTGCAGAGGGAGGAGCTAGGACTCAGCACCCATGTCCCCATGGCGATTGGAGACATGCTGCAATGGGGATCCTGGAGGAGGGATGTTGGGAGCAAGATGTCACTATGGGGATCCTGGAGGAGGGACGTCGGGAGCAAGATGTCACTGCCAATGGCCCTGGTGTCTCTCCAGAGACATCTGCTCAGTGCCTACATCTCTGCTGTGTGAGTGCCACATGTTTGTGGTGTAGAGCAGGGGGGAGGCGAGATGTCATGCCTGGTACCAGGGCGAGCCAGGGCAAGGGATGGGGTGGTCTGATCTCAGGGACTGTGGGTCCCACTGGGGACAGAGCTTGGGCACTGCCAGTGCTGTGGCTGCTGCTCAGGAGAGCACGAGAGCAAAGCTCCTGTGTGCTCTCCCCCCAGCAAAGTTGTCAACAGGGAAAAGCTCTGCTCCTGATCAAGAAGCTCCGAAGGACACAATGGCTTGGATGGAGCAGAGCCTGGCCTCTGCAGGGGAAGGCTTTCCCCAGCTCCAAGAGGTCTGTGGGTGGGATGAGGTGGAGTAGGTCTGTGTGCAGGTTGTGGGAGAGGGGCCACAGGCTTCTGCTCTCCTCAGCTGTGCAGAGAAACAACCCCCAGAAAGATCTCTTTAACTTCCAGACTTACTTCTTTTCAGCTCAGAAGTGAAAATCCCACTGTGAAGGAGCTTTGCAGCCTCTTCTTGCTGTCCCAGGTCACTCCTGATGAGCACTGGTGAGCAAGCAGCAGCCAGCCATAGCACCAGTTCAGGTGGTTTGTATCAGACGAGTTACCTGATGGGTGATACCAGCAGGAAGATGTCACAGATCTAAGTCTGGACTGCCAGAAGCCACTGAAAACCCCAGGCTTGCTTTTGCTAGCCCTTTTGGGCTGAATCCTGCCTCAGGGTTTACCTGTGTGCCCAGCAAAAGACTACAGCAAACCAAAGATTTTCTTCAGCAGCTGATGCCTACTTGTGAGAGCACACTCACAGACAAGTATCTGGAGGGAAAGAACTCTTTGAACAGTGGTCCCACCACTGGGACATGATGAAGGATGCTGTAGAGGTCAGGCTCATGGAGGCCTGGGGAAGAGCCAGCCAGTTTGTTGTTCCCTACCCTGCAGACCTTAGCTGTTTGTGAGCCTCCTCCTGGTGTTTGAGCAGCCATGCTCTCACCCTGAATCGCAAAAATGTGAGCATGGGATGAGAGCCCCAAACCACTAAAGTGTTAGTGAGTGCCCTATTAAAGCCAACAGCAAATTAACACACAAACTCATCCCGAGGTTAACCAGACAGAAATTATGCCAGGTATCACACCTGTGCAGCTGGAAGTAGGCACAAGAGAAGCCAGTGCAACAGCCCACCCTCCTGTGTATCTCTAGGGAGAAGAATCAGCTTTGGCTCTCTGAGCAATGTTATCCCAATTACAAGTTGGGGAAAGAAGAGAAACACCTTTCAAAGATGGCAAATTACACATTTCCTTGGTTTTTATTCTTACTTTTATGTTAAACACAACTTTGAAGTATTCTGGAAATATATTTATCCCACTATGAGAATACAGGATGGCTTTACATAAGTGCAATTTTCAAACACCCTCATGAAAATCCTTAAAAGTTATGTACCAGCAGTACTCTGTCTTCTTCACTTTCAAGAAGTATTCAGTGTAAAACATGCTACTTATCTTTTCCTAGGGAATCGAACCAACAGGATCTGTTGACAAACCTCTTTGGCAGTGTTATTGTCAATGGCAGTCTGTCTTGGATGGTCAAGGAAGTCTGTCCTGGGGGAAGGCAGCTGACTGCATGATGCTTGTTGTGGTCCTTGGCTGAGGATATGTGTCAATATGTTCCTGTTGACACAAAGCAGGACTTTTGGAAGAGGTTCTTAAGGTTGACAGCTCCAATGTCCAGTAAGATAACGACACATGGTTCCTCCATGGGAGGACCTCCATTACCTGAAAAGGTAATTTGTGTTTTCTTACACATAGGTGAGATATTGAACAAGATAGACACTGAAGGTTTGCATGTGAAAAAGCACTCTTCACTGAGTAATCAGATCGCTGCTTGTTTGCAGCCTCCTAGAGTACAGATGCCCTGAGTGCATGGCCTGTGAGAATACAGGCTGATAGCAAGCTATGTGAACATACGCAGAGTTGACAGTAAACTGCTACATGGGAGGCATTTCTTTATCTGCAAACAGGATCCTGAATGACACAGACTCCCCTTCTTGAAGTTAAAGCTGGAAGGAGACTTGTCTTGGTGAGTGGAGCTCATATTTGCCACAAAGGATTACCATTATTCACAGGATCCACTTTTCTTTCAGTCTTTCTGACCTTGATAATAAAAGATACAGACATGTATACTAAGATGGAAATCTTTATAGAAGGTAGTTGAGGCAATGGCTTGGAAGTCTGCTCAAATATTCTTCTAGGGACTGAAAACCAAAAAATTGCTCTTTTTCAGAAAATTGCTTTTATGGGGGAAGAAGGGCAAGGTAGTTGAAAAGTGTATAAAATAGTGTATAGGAAAGGATGATGTTTGTCTGTGACAGTCACATCACCCAGATCAGTTCTCCCTCTCACACACGTACTGAGTCAATGAACATTGTCTTAGAGAAGACAGGAAATCTGACTTCTTACAAGCAATTCATTATTTTTCCAATGTGAAGAAAGATGCAAAATGTTACATTTTATTTTGGTACAAGACTATTTCTTCCATCTTCTCTGAGTGAGTGTGGTTTGATGCTTTTATCTTCTTGACAGCCCTCATTCTGTTTTCTTTCCTGGAGGCTGGTCATGCTGCCAAGAGAGGGCAGCAATCAAACATAGAAACTGCACGCCTGGCCCTATATTAGGTCACACGAGAATTTAATTTAAGGGATCATTAGCACAGAAGCGCTGCTTCTTACTGTGATTACTGCTCAATGCACTTAGCCTGCTGCTGATTCGTTCTCACTGCAAAAGCAACCCTTGGAATTGTTCTCTTCTCTTTGTGTTTTCTTTCAGACAAAAAAAAAAAAAAAAAAAAAAAAAAAAAAGCCCAAACTTCTGCTGAATCATTTGGAAATAAGTTCTGTGCCATGGGAGCATGGTCAGGCAAACACCAGGGGCTGCTCTGGGGATGCTGTGTAGGAGGCATAGGTCCCACACCTGCATTTCCACAGGGGGACTTTACAGGGGACTGAAAGCGTGTGACAAACAAGTATACAGCTATGTTATACCTTTATTTCCATGTGTAAGACGTTTTCATAGTTCATGCTGTCACCTTCCTACTGCAGGCTGTGTTACTTAAAATAGACTGCTCTTTAGTGGGCAGCTTTTTCTCTCAAATCCACCATTTCTGTAAGATCCAGAGCCACCTCCTTCATGTGTAAGGCTGCATGATCAGATCAGCACATATTCTTAAAGACATATATTCCAATATTTATTGACCTGATCCAGGCTGAACCTGTTTTAGAAACAGAAGTAACCTGGTTGGTTTTAATATGGATAACTATCTTGACCCCCAAAAAGAGCTGCAGTGTTTTGGTCCCTCCCTCCAGAGGCAGTTCGTTCTTCTGCCCATATTTTTGAGATTACAACATTAAAACACAATGTTCCCTTTCAGTTAACAAGGAAAATGTCATGGCCCAATAAAAATGGTGATAGAGGGAGGCTCTGCATGGGCTTTGTCTTACTGCAGGACAAAAGTGCTGTTGCTCTCTGGGGCTCTGCTCTTCCCATGTCAAACACAGATGCTGGCTTTTTACCTGGTTACTGGAAAACACCTGAAGCTCTACTGGTAGAATGAAACTAGCATTTAAGGGCAGAGGAAGAAGAAACCATCCCCAAGCACACTGTGCAGAGCCAGACAGGGCTGTAATGGCATGAAAGTGTGAAGCGGTGGATGATCCCTGCCACCTGTGCTATACTTAGGCTTGAATGGACTAATGCTGGCTTAACCTTGTGTGTAAAAAAGGGAAAAGCTCTAGGTAAGACTGAGATCTAGTTGTAGGAAATCATGATGGGCTTCCCAGGGCAGGAGAAGCTGAGAGAGCACCAAGCCCACAGGGAAGGTGTTCAGCCAGTGTAAGACCCAAGTTACTTTGTGGGGAGGAAGCACCCGCAGTCCCATTGGTGATCCTGCCCATTTCTCCTCAGCGAGGAGGCTGCACAGCAAACAGCATTTTAGGGGCAAGGAGATTAAAAGAGAGGAGGGGAAGCACAGGGAATAGGAGTAGTGGGGTTACACCAGGCAGACACTGCTCTCTGTGCAGGTACTGCTGCTCTTACCATCCGAGCCTGATCCTGCCCCAGATGTCCTCTGTAACCCGGGCAAAGGCACTGAGCCTAGATTAATTTAAAGGCCAATTCAGTTGCCTAAATTCCCTGGAGGGTATGAGCCTTGGCTGCACTTTCACACTACAGCTAAATTGGTCTGGCAGCTGCTGAAAGAGGCAGGATCCCTCCTGCCCTGCTCTCCCCTGGGGGCTTTGTTCAGTTCTGCAGGCAGCAAGAATTAAAAACCCTGGCTCCTCCAACTTCTTTGCACAAAGGGAGGATGGTCCTGTAAGTTCAGCTCAAGCTATGCAAATGATGATAAAAGAAATAAACAGAAATCAGTGAAAGGCTGGCCATTCAGTTTTCCACAGGTGCTGCACTTTGTATCACCTCCCCAGAGGTGCCAGCATCTGCTTCATTGTGCTGCAGACAGCCAGGCAGCAGCCCCTGTGTGTGACCTTCACTGATTTCAGCTGGGGTAAGAGCACAGGTCAGCCACAGGATGGATAAGCTTCCACCCTATGCCAACATCTTCAGCAAAGCACCTACCTTTCCAGCATAGGAACCATAGCTGGACCCCCCTGGATGGACCTCTCCATTGGCAGCAGCTGGTGGGTCTCCATGGGAAGTGCCTGGCAAGTGCTTAGCACCGAGTTCATCAGCAAAAAGGTCTGGGAACTACTGAACTACCTTTTCTCTCAGCATTTCTGCCTTCTTGCACTAGTACGAGTAATAGCTTCCTCCAGTCAAACAGGCTTGTTATTTAAAAGACGCAAGGAATTCTTTTTTTATATTGTCCTAACACTCAGTAGCTTTTGTGCTTTTTTCTTTCTCTTGTTTTTTTTTTTTTTAAAATGGAGAAAACAGACATTAGTCACACCAACAAATCATTTTTTGATGTGTGTGTTTGTTGCAATGGGCAGTAATAACTCCAGATAAACCACTCTTGGCAGAGAGCAACAAAAGGCTAACAGCCTGAGCACAGGTCTAAGAGACTCCAAGCCAATTAATGAACTGTGCAGCCTCTCTGCTGAAATCAGAGAGCCCACAAGCAGGGCTTCAGGAGTTTGCAGCAGTAATGAGACTACTCAGGCTGTTTTCTGTAAGTTTGTGATTCTGCATGCTGACAATGTTGCAGATGAATCCATCCAGATCCAGAACCTGCTGCAGAATAAATCTTGTGTTAAATCTGGAAAAATCTTTGCAGAGATACCTTGTAGTGAACGTGCCTTGGAAAACTTAAGTGATGCTGTGAATGGCTCAGCATGGACTATTATGCTACTGACAAAATTTTCTGAATGGATCAGAAATTTGTGTTTCAGTCTTACACTGCCTTTGCCAATGCTCTTAACAGCATAAATTAAAACTCTGTGATACCTGTGATGCCACTGAATAACCCACTTGCCCAAGAGAAGACCTTTTTTTTTTTTTTTTCCTTTTTTTTGCTTTGCAGGCTGTTAATGCACTGTAAGAGGATAGTCCTGGCTTTGCAAAACAAGTGGAGAAAATTTTCCAGGAGTCTACATAGAGGCAACAGTGAGAGGTATGGAGGAGAGGGAAGGATGAAACAGAAACTAGAGCACTTGTCATGGTGAAAAATGGTGAAGACAGACTATGTTTAGAATAAAACAGAAGTGATATTCCTTGCTCTTGTTTTATAAAGGAAGGGAAACTCTTCTTTTGTCAAAACTAATGGTAAAGTTCTCTGCCAAGTCACGTTAATTAAGTACTGTTGAATGCGTGCTGTATACGTGGGCATGCCTGGCGCTGTGGCTACTTAGAGGTACAAAATGCTGCCAACCCCAAACCCTAGCTATGTTCGGCTTTATCTTGTGAGCTCTGCCAGATGTGCATTCTTTTCCATGAACAATGTACAGCTCCTCATATCTTGTAGCTGATACTGAAAAATATTAATAAAAGAGGAATACCAGTCATCACAATGAAACCAATACTGCACAAAAGGCACCCCATGAAATATGCTGCTGCTTTGAGAAATGGGCATTTCAACGATATTTTATTTTTGTTATATTTGGGATTTTTTTTCTATATAGAAAAAACATTTTCTGATGTGTTTTGTTATTTCAAGAAACATTTTCTTGGCTCATTTTAACTAAACTTCGCTTGGCACAGTCTTTAAGGGAAAAAATCAGGCAATTATATTTGAGAGAATAGTGTGGGAGGCTGTGTTTGTCTTCAAGGCAAGAGTTCTGAGCTCAAGCTGGAAAAGGAGGAGAGGGACAGAAATGGCATTGTTTTGAATTACTTGCTTTTTGTGCACTTCAGATATCCTAGTTCTTAAGCATATTTGATCAGATTTGAACATTTAAGACAGATCTTCAATGTTCCTTTTTCCTCCTGTACTTGATAGGACTGCTAGCTGTGATTCAGTAAGCCAGGTTGCATTAGATTTCACTATAGTTTTGTATTGCTGATGTGAAAGGTAATTACTAAAATAGCATTGGAAATCTTCACCTTTTCGTGGTTAAAATTAAATTAAAGACGATAATTTATTATTTTCTGAATGACTGAACTCTGGCTATTCCAAATGTAAGGACAGCCAGCTCTGAGCAAAACAATTCATTCCTTGCTGAAGAGAAAAGGCAGCAAGAGGGGCTTTGGTGTCTGGATCAGCGTCGATGCCATGCTTGTGGGAGGTAGCTGACATAATAGCCGTGCCATTGCTTGCACACAGCGTGATTTTGGACACAATGTTTTGTGTTCTGCTTCTGTTCCCTGTTTTGCAAATGAGGAGAATAACAGCTATGTATCTCTGTCTCAAAAATTTAGAGCAAGAATCAGTTATGGACACACCACGTGCTTCATCCATGCACGGGCTGTAGCCTTGTGCCACAGGAAAGCAGATTTCTGGAGCCAGAGGGATGCTGGGTGTCCTCAGCCTTTGCAAAGTGCTGTCGGTGCAGCCAGTCATGGTGCCTGGGATGGCAGAAAGTCCTGAGCAGGGTCGGGCGTTTCTCAGTTAATCTCCCATGTGTCCCAGATGCTGCGAGAGATGCCCATCAACAACAGGCAGCTGCCTGCAGGCAGAGGGCTGCTTCTGACTCCAGTGCTGGGGAACAGGTCACTGTAAGTGGGGGGGCCAGACCTCTGCTCCTCTCTGCCCCCTTGCCATGGCGGGGTGGCCGGAGCCACCTGAGCTCCTCGAGGAGAGCCACAAGCACTGTGAGCATGGGTGGAGGGTTTGGGTTCTGGGAGGCTTTCAGAATTCCTCTGCCAGTGCTGATTCATTTAAATGCTGTCTACAGTATTTTTTACCTTTTTTATTTTTCCCAGCAGTGTAAATGTACTTTTTCCTGTGCTGTTTAAAACAGTAAACGTAAGACAACCTGTCTATACCACACAGTCTATAAACCATACCAATGGGAGGATTATGCAAAGAAGACAGAAAGAAAAGAGAATGGGAAGAAGTGAAAGAGAAACAGGAGGACATGTGGTCTGCCCTGGGCATGCAGCTAAGTGTTTCCAAAAAGGGAAACAAATTCTCAGGCTTGGTCCAAACCTCAGCAACCCAGAGACTCCTGTTCTTGGGCTACCAAGCTGCTGCATTGTTGTTGCTAGTTATTCTTCCACCTCTACAAAACTGTTCCTGCTGGCTGCTCCCAGGAGACACCAGTTGCTTTGCTGGTGAGAAGCCCATACTTGCAGGTAATATCCTACTGTGCAGCTCTCAGGCAACATTTGATAGTTAAAGTCCCCAGGTCATTTATGCTTTAATGTTGTTCTCTTTCAGTAGCTAGTTCAGAAAAAAAGTGTTCCCGCAACGTGTTACTGTCCGCTCATATTGCTACATACTGCCTGCAAGAACCACATGGACAGCTATCTTGTATGCTAGGTGCCTACAAAATAAAAATTGCCATCTCATTTTCATGCAGAAATGTGTGCCCTGTCACTACTGATCACTGCCCATCCTCCTGCCAGTCTTACCAGGATGCTTACTGTGCTGCCCTGCCAGCTGACAACTGCCTGGCCATTAAGCAAGGGTCCGCCTGGGAGTTGCGGACTCCAGCTGAATGAAACTCCTTACTTGTCTTAGGCTGCATTCGCTGTCGACCGCAGCTCTGCTGTACCTCTCCCAGGCAGCTGCCTTCAAGCTGCGTGCGGGGTTGCCCAAGCACTGCAGCAGAATGCAGTACTTAAAAGGGTATGCCGGGATACTCTGGCAAAGGCAGGAAATTTGTATCCTGCACTAAGAAAAGCCTAGGAAGCGCGTATGTCATCCAGCTGTGACCTGCCCCTGCTCTCACACTCAAGGATGCAAGTGCTGGAAAAGCAAGCTGGGTGACCCTATCCCATCTTTGGTATGGTAAAAGAAAAACAGTTCAGGAGTTGTGAGCATACTGCTGGGTGAGCAATACTGCACTACAAACCATATATATGGAATTATGTCTAAAGCTGAATTACCTCTCTTCGGGAGAAGCCGGAGCACTGTTGCCATGACTATCGCGTTTGCGAGGGAGACTCTCGCCTGCACCTCGGAGCACTCTGCAGCCGGCAGCCTCTACGCTGCCTCCTCCCTCTGGAGGTCCCAAATGTCACCCTGACACCACCTGTCCCCTCAGTACGTTCTGTCCTGGCAGAAGTGAGCAAAGGGTCAGAGACAGGGAGAGACCTTGGGGATACTGACCATTGTGCCAGACTTGGGTGAAATGCCCCTGGCCCTGAGCAGAGGGGAGCTGTGGTGGTCCCCTGGGTCAACAACAGGGACTTTATTAATGGCTGGAAATTGGACATGCCTGAACAGACAGGGAAGGGGCATGCTGAGACTGAGGGCTGGGACAGCAAGGCAGCACACTGGAAAAATGCTCTCCGGCATCAGTCTCAGTCCCGTCTCCCCACAGCAGGTTAGGTGCTCAGAGATCTCTCCACGCTTCGCTACGTTCAGCTGTTAAACAAGAACAGCAATCCTCATGTCACAGAAGGCTACATATATTTTATTTACAAATTCTTGCAATAGAAGGCATTGCACAACGGGAAGTAGAGCTGACACACTTCATATGCCTAATGGTGTATTTGGCTTTCTCCGCGATAGGTTATTAATGATTTTAAATTTTCCTTAGCTCTGTCTGAAGGCCTATAAAGACTTCCACAAAAAATGCTGAAACTTATTAACTGGAATGAGCCATATTCTGTTTTTTTCTCTCAAAACTACAATCCTATTGCAAAATTTCTGGCATTTCTCTCAGATGTTTCCCAATCAGCTTGGCCAGTGGAAAATGTGAAACCTTGTGGCTGCCATCTTGTCCTGCACTGCATTCACCCCTTAGAGAAAGGGCAGGGTAAAAGCAGCAGCTCTTCCATCTCAGAAAGCCATCAATATCTCATTTGGCGTAACCGCTAAAAGGTGAAAAAACCCCCAAAACACCCAAATTGAGATAAGGCAGCTTCTCCTCTGATTTCAGTGCTGGGGATGGTTTGCCTGTGCTCTCTGGCTGACAGCCAGAGTTGGGGGGTACCCAAGGAAAGGACAGCGCCTGAGTACCCAAGGTACTAGTGGCATAAATCCAAGAGATTTATAAATCTTAAATAAGCTAAAGCAATCTGTGGAGAGCAGTTTTAATAAGCTTGGTGCGGTTAGCATTAAGAACCAAGCAAACAGCTCCAATCTGCTCTAACTGGATCTTCTGAGGCGTGCTTGTGAGAAGCCTTAGTAAAGTGTATTTTAGTAATCCAGCCTGCAGAAGAAAATGGAGTAGTTGCTCATATGCTGCAGCAGTGGAACAGGCAGTCTAGATAAGGAGGGAATTGGTTACATGGGTGCCTGTTGCCGACTTGCTCAGAAATGTGAAACCTCGCTGTTAAAGGCAAGTGCTGAAGAGCTTGTGGGGTTTCCTCAGGGAGGTCGGATGTCTGGAGGGGAGGATGTGGGGCAGTGCCCAGGGGATGGCTCTGGCCAATGGCAGCTCCACAAGAAGAGCGACTACCAAAATGACACCAGTCCTTCTTATCAGAAAACCACCAGACAGACAGGCAGAGACACCCCTGCACAAGGGAACTGAAAAACTCAGTAGCTGAGCTTTATGTCATTTAAAAAAACCCCAAACCTCTGCCTCCTAACCTAGAATTAAGCCAGGCCTGGAAATAGTTTTCCTGTTAGTCTGTGCCTTCTGTTTATACAGGGCCAAGCTAGAGTCAGCAATCAGAGGCAGATTAACAGAAGAGTCCCTAGTCACGATTTAATAGGAAGCTACTCCCAGAGATCTTTTTGCCAAAAGGCCACACACTTGCCTCTGACCAGCTGCTTATGGAAATGGTTAGAAGGCAGAAAATGAGAGCAGAACTCTCCAAAGCACATACGCGTGTGACTGCATGCGTGCGTACGCACACACACACCCACGTGGCCAGAAACCGCTGGGAACTGGGACTCCGCTACAGACAGAAAGGTTTCTGGATATATATGGCAATGTAAAAGGTCGCAGCTAGTCTGAACTGCTTGGTGCCTCTGCAGACATCCAATGACAGTTACAGCTGCAGATGACTAAAATGTAGGGAGCTTATAGCACTTGCATCTGA